GTTTTTGTCGTTGTTCTAATATTTGTTTTTGTTGTAGTAGTAGTTTTCCGAGTAGTAATAGTTGTCGTAGTAGTTATGGTCCTAGTAGTTGTTGTCGCAGTAGTAGTAGTAGTTGTTGTAGTAGTAATAGTTGTCCTAGATTTAGCAGTTATAGTAGTAGGTGTGTCTTATTAGTAGTAGTTATTGTCCTAGTAGCAGTAGTTGAAGTAGTGGCAGCAGTAGTTATCGATGTTTTAATAGACGTAGTAGTAGTTTTTTTAGTAGTAGTTGTTGGAATGTTTTTAGTATTAGTTGTTTTCCTAGTAGTAGTAGTCGTAGTAGTAGCAGTTGTCTTATTAGAGTTTGTACTACTAATAGAAGTAGTTGAAGTAATAGTAGTTACCGTAGTAGTACTTGTTTTTCAAGTAGTAGTAGTTGTTGTCATCGCAGTAGTAGTTGTTATCGTAATAGAAGTAGTTGTACTATTAGTAATATTTTTTTGTATTAGTGTTGTATTAGCGGTTTTTGTAATAATTCTACTAGTTGTCGCAGTAGTAGTAGTAGTTTTCGCAATAGTAGTAGTTGTAGTAATTGACACTATTAGTACTTGTAGTTGTGGTAGTAGTAGTTATCGATGTTGAAATAGAAGATCAGTTGTAGTAGTAGTAGTTTTTGCCGTAGTAGTAGTATTTGTTTTAGTAGTTTTTGAGTTGAAGGAATAGTAGTAGTTGTAATAGTGGTACTAGTAGCTATCGATTTTTTAATAGAAGCAGTAGTAGTTGTTGTCCTAGTAGCAGTAGTTGAAGTAGTGGTAGCAGTAGTTATCGATGTTTTAATAGACGTAGTAGTAGTTTTTTTAGTAGTAGTTGTTGGCATGGTAGTAGTTGTAGTTGTTTTCCTAATAGTAGTAGTTGTCGTGGTAAGCTGTAGTATGCTGTTGTCTTAGTAGTTGTAGTTATTGTAGTAGTGATTGCAGTTGTTGTAGTAGTGGTTCTAGTAGTTATCGATGTTGGAATAGAAATAGTAGTAGTTTTTGTTGTAGAATCAGTAGTAGTTGTCGTAATCGTAGTAGTTATAGTAATTTACAATATTATTAGCTTTTTTGTCGTAGTAGTAGTTCTTGTAGTAGTAGTTGTAGTAGTTCATGTAGTTGAAGTTTTTGTCGTATTAGTAGTAGTAGTTGTCGTAGTGGCTTTTGTTGTAATAGTGGTTGTTGTAGCAATAATTGTAGTAGTAGTATTTGTGGTTGTATTTGTTTTAGTAGTAGTAGTTTTCGTAGTAGTTGTAGTTGTAGTAATGGTAGCAGTAGTTATTGATGTTGAAATAGAAGAAGTAGTAGTTGTTGTAGTAGTTGTATTATTATTAGTTGTTATCGTAGAAGTAGTTGTTCTCGTAGTCGTACTAGTTTTCCTAGTACTAATAGTTGTAGTAGTAGTTGTTGTCTTAGTAGTTGTAGTTGTTGTAGTAGTGATAGCAGTTGTTGTAGTAGTGGTTGTATCGATGTTCTAATAGAAATAGCAGTTTATGTTGTAGAAATAGTAATTGTAATACTAGTAGCAGTAGTTGTCGTCGTAGTAGTAGGTATTGTAGTAGTTTTTTCTGTACTAGAAGTTGTCGTATTATTAATTGTTGCTGTTTTCGTTGTAGTAGCTGTGCTAGTAGTAGTTTTAGTAGTAGTTCTTCTTGTATTACTAGTAGTAGTAGTTGATATAGTTGTATTTGTAGTAATTGTCGTACATGACAAAGAAGTAGTAGTTGTAGTCGTGCGAGTAGTAGTTCTTGATGCTGTGATATCAATAGTAGTAGTTGTTGTAGTCGTAGTAGTAGCATTTGTCCTAATAGTAGTTGTACTAGTTGACATAGTAGTAGTAGTTCTTGTAGTCGTGGTAGTAGTAGTTATTGATGTTTTAATAGAAATAGAAGTAGTTGTTGTAGTAGTAGTTGCGGTAGGAACTATTGTTTTAGTAGTAGTTATTGTAGTAGTTTTCGTAGCACTTGTAGTTGTTGGAGTATTAGTATTTGTAGTAGTTGTTTTTTTGGAGCAGCAGTAGTAGTTGTCCTAGTAGTAATAGTTTTTATATTAGTGTTTGTTTTATTAGTGGTAGAGTTGTACCAATTGTTGTCATAATAGTAGTATTTGGAGTAATAGTAATAGTTGGAGTAGTTGACATAGTAGGTGTAGTAGTGGTAGTCGTTATCGTTGTTGTAGTAGTAATTGTCCTAGTAGAAGTAGCTGTAGTAGTTTTAGCTGTAGTAGTTGTACTAATAGTAGTAGTTGTCATTGTACTAGTTGTTTTCGTAGATGTAGTAGTTGACGTAATACTAGTAGTTGTTGTAGTAGTTGTTGCAGGAGCAGATGTTGTCTTTCTAGTAGTGGTAGTTGTAGCTGTTGTCTTAGTAGTTGTACTTGTGCTAGTTGTAGTAATTGTAGTAGTTGTCGTAATAGTAGTAGTTGTTGTAGTTGAAGGAATAGTAGTAGTTGTAGTAGTGGTACTAGTAGCTATCGATTTTTTTAATAGAAGCCGTAGTAGTTGTTGTATTAGTTGTAGTAGAAGTTGTTTTTGTCGTTGTTCCAGTATTTGTTTTTGTTGTAGTAGTAGCAGTTTTCCGAGTTCTAATAGTTGTCGTAGTAGTTATTGTCCTATTAGTTGTTGTCGCAGTAGTAGTAGTAGTTGTCGTAATAGTAGTAGTTGTTGTAGTTGAAGGAATAGTAGTAGTTGTAGTAGTGGTACTAGTAGCTATCGATTTTTTTAATAGAAGCCGTAGTAGTTGTTGTATTAGTTGTAGTAGAAGTTGTTTTTGTCGTTGTTCCAGTATTTGTTTTTGTTGTAGTAGTAGCAGTTTTCCGAGTTCTAATAGTTGTCGTAGTAGTTATTGTCCTATTAGTTGTTGTCGCAGTAGTAGTAGTAGTTGTCGTAATAGTAGTAGTTGTTGTAGTTGAAGGAATAGTAGTAGTTGTAGTAGTGGTACTAGTAGCTATCGATTTTTTTAATAGAAGCCGTAGTAGTTGTTGTATTAGTTGTAGTAGAAGTTGTTTTTGTCGTTGTTCCAGTATTTGTTTTTGTTGTAGTAGTAGCAGTTTTCCGAGTTCTAATAGTTGTCGTAGTAGTTATTGTCCTATTAGTTGTTGTCGCAGTAGTAGTAGTAGTTGTCGTAATAGTAGTAGTTGTTGTAGTTGAAGGAATAGTAGTAGTTGTAGTAGTGGTACTAGTAGCTATCGATTTTTTTAATAGAAGCCGTAGTAGTTGTTGTATTAGTTGTAGTAGAAGTTCTTTTTGTCGTTGTTCCAGTATTTGTTTTTGTTGTAGTAGTAGTAGTTTTCCGAGTTGTAATAGTTGTCGTAGTAGTTATTGTCCTATTAGTTGTTGTCGCAGTAGTAGTAGTAGTTGTCGTAATAGTAGTAGTTGTAGTTATTGACAATATTACTATTTGTAGTTGTGCTAGTAGTAGTTATCGATACTGAAATAGAAGAGAAATTGTAGTAGTACTAGTTTTTGTCGTAGTCGTAGTAGATTTCGTAGTAGTAGTAGTTGTTGTAGTAGTTGTTGTAGTTGAAGGAATAGTAGTAGTTGTAGTAGTGGTACTAGTAGTTATTGATTTTTTTAATAGAAGCAGTACTAGTTGTAGTAGTTGTTGTTGTAGTAGAAGTTGTTTTTATCGTAGTTCTAGTATTTTTTGTTGTTGTAGTAGTAGTAGTTGTCCGAGTATTAATAGTTGTAGTAGTAGTTCTTGTTCTAGTAGTTTTTGTCGTACTAGTAGTAGTTGTCGTAGTAGTAGTTGTCCTAGAAGTAGCAGTTTTAGTAGTAGGTGTGTCTTAGTAGTAGTAGTTGTTGTCCTAGTAGTAGTATTTGTAGTAGTGGTAGCAGTAGTTATCGATGTTTTAATAGACGTAGTAGTAGTTTTTTTCGTAGTAGTTGTTGTAGTAGTAGTTGTTTTCGTAGTAGTAGCCGTTGTCGTAGTAGTAGACGTTGTCTTAGTAGAGGTTTCCTACTACTAGGAGTAATTGAAGTAATAGTAGTAGTTGCCGTAGTATTACTTCTTATTGAAGTAGTAGTAGTTGTTGTCATCGCAGTAGTAGTTGTTATCGTAGTGGAAGTAGTTGTACTAGTAGTAATATTTCTTCAATTATTGTTTGTTGTAATAGTAGTAGTAGTTGTATTAGAAGTAGTTGTAGTAATTGACAATATTGCTAGCTGTATTTGTGGTAGTAGTATTTATCGATGTTGAAATAGAAGTAGAGTAGTTGTAATAGTTTTTTTCGTAGTAGTAGTTGTCGTTGGAGTAGTAGCTGTAGTAGTTGATGTAGTTGAAGTTGTTTTTGTCGTATTAGTAGTAGTAGTTGTCGTACTGGCTGTTGTTGTAATAGTAGTTGCTGTCGTAGTAGTAGTTTCGTAGTAGTAGTATTTGTGGTTGTATTTGTGTTAGTAGTAGTTTTCATAGTAGTTGTAGTAATGGTTGCAGTAGTTATCGATGTTGCAATAGAAGTATTAGTAGTATTTCTTGTAGTAGTTGTATTAGTATTAGTTGTTATCGTAGACGTAGTTGTTCTCGTAGTCTTAGTAGTTTTCCTAGTACTAGTAGTTGTAGTAGTAGTTGTTGTCTTAGTAGTTGTAGTTGTTGTATTGGTGATAGCAGTTGTTGTAGTAGTGGTTCTAGTATTCATCGATGTTGTAATAGAAACAGTAGTAGTTTTTGTTGTAGAACTAGTAGCTGTTGTCGTAATACCAGTAGCAGTAGTTGTCGTCGTAGTAGTAATTATTGTAGTAGTTTTTGCTGTACTAGTAGTAGTCTTATTATTAATAGTTGTTTTCGTTGTAGTAGTAACTGTGCTAGTAGTAGTTGTAGTAGTAGTTCTTCTTGTATTAATAATAGATGTACTTGAAATAGTTGTATTTGTAGTAGTTGTCGTAGGTGACATAGAAGTAGTAGTTGTAGTCGTGCGAGTAGTAGTTATTGATGTTGTAATATCAATAGTAGTTGTTGTCGTAGTAGTAGCAGTTGTCCTAATATTATTAGTTGTACTAGTTGACATAATAGTAGTTGTTGTTGTAGTTGTTGGCGTAGTAGTTGTAGTAGTTGTTTTTTGGACTAGTAGTAGTTGTTCGAGTAGTAATAGTTTTTATATTAGTGTTTGTTTTATTAGTAGTAGTAGTTGTACTAGTTATTGTCATAGTAGTTGTAGTTGCAGTAGTAGTAGTTGGAGTAGTTGACATAGTAGTTGTAGTAGTGGTATTAGTAGTTATCGTTGTTGTAATAGAAGTAGTAGTAGTAATAATTCTCATAATGGTAGCTGTTGAAATAGTAGTATTTATCCTAATAGTAGTAGTAGTATTTCTCCTAGTAGAAGTAGTTGCAGTAGTTTTAGCTGTAGTAGTTGTACTAATAGTAGTAGTTGTCATAGTAGTAGTTGTTTTCGTAGATGTAGTAGTTGACGTAATACTAGTAGTTCTTGTAGTAGTTGTTGTAGTAGTAGATGTTGTCTTTCTAGTAGTATTAATTGTAGTAGTTGTCGTAGTAGCTGTCTTAGTTGTACTTGTGCTAGTTGTAGAAATTGTACTAGTATTTGTTGTCGTAATAGTAGTAGTTGTTGTAATGGTACTAGTAGCTATCGATTTTTTTTTAACAGAAGCAGTTGTAGTAGTTGTAGTTGTAGTAGAAGTTGTTTTTCTCGTAGTTGTAGTATTTGTTGTTGTTGTAGTAGTTGTCCGAGTAGTAGTAGTTTTAATAGTAGTAGTTTCAGTAGTATTTGTTGTCGCAGCAGTAGTAGTTGTTGTCCTAGTAGTAGTTGTCGTAGAAGTAATTTTTATTGTAGTAGTAGTTGTTGTCATCATATTAGTAGTTGTTGTTTTCATAGTAGATGTAGTTGTAGTAGTTGTTGTTATTGTATTATTAATAGTTGTCGTAGTAGCAGTAGTTTTTGTCATATTAGTAATAGTTGTCGTAGTTGTCGTAGTAGTAGTTTTTGTAGTAGGTGTTGTCGTAATAGTAGTTGTTTTCGTAGTTGCAGTATTTGACTTAATACCAGTAGTTCTTGTAGTAGTTGCTGTAGTAAATGTTATCGTTCCAGTAGTAATAGTTATTGAAATTGGCGTAGTTGTAATTTTTCTAGTAGTAATAGTTGTAGTAGTATTTGTTGTCGTAATAGTATTAGTTCTATTTGAAGCAGTAGTAGTGGTCGTAGTAGTTATCGATGTTTTAGTAGAAGCATTAGTGGTTGTTGTAGTAGTTATTGTAGTAGAAGTTGTTTTTGTCGCAGTAGTCGTATTTGTTGTTGTAGTCTTGGTAGTTTTCTGAGTTGTAATAGTAGTTGTAATATTATTTGTAGAAGTAGTAGGTGTTTTCGCAGTAGTAGTTGTTCAAGTAATAGTTGTAGTTGTATTAGTAGTGATCGATGTTTTAATAGAAGTAGTAGTATATTTTGTAGTAGTTGTAGTATTAGTAGTAGTTGTAGTAGTTGAAGTAGTAGTTGTTGTAGCAATGAGTTATAGTTATCAAGATTGTAATAGAAGTAGTAGTTGTAGTAGTAGTTATTGTGGTAGAGTAGTAGTTGTCATAGTAGTAGTAGTTATTGCAGTAATTTTTGTCGTAGTAGCTTTAGGAGCTGATGTTTTAATAGTAGTTATTGTAGTAGTTGTAGTAGTTATCGATGTTTTAATAGAAGCAGTACTAGTTGTTGTAGTGATGTTGTTATAGTAGTAGTTTTCGTTGTAGTAGTTGACGTAATACTAGTATTTGTTGTAGTAGTTGTAATATATGTTGTCTTTGTAGTAGTAGTTGTAGTAGTGCTAGTAATAGTTGTAGTAGTATTTGTTGTCGTAGTAGTAATTGTGGTAGTGGTCGTAGTAGTTATTGCTGGTTTAATAGAAGCATTAGTGGATGTTGTAGTAGTTGTTCTAGTAGAAGTTTTTTGTCTTAGTAGAAGTATTTGTTTTTGTAGTAATGGTTATTTTCTGAGTAATACTAGTTGTAGTAGTTGTACAAGTAGTAGTTGTAGTATTTGATGGATAAGTAGTAGTTGTTCTAGTAGTAGAAGTTGTTGTTTTAGTAGTAGTAGTTGAGGTAGTAGCAGTTGTAGTTGTTATCGATGTTTTAATAGACAACGTAGTAGTTTTTGTAGTAAGAGTCCTAGTTGTCTTAGTAGCAGTTGTCATAGTAGTAGTAGTAGTTGTCCTAGTAGTAGTTGAAGTTATATTAGTGGTTGTTGTAATATTGGTAATAGTAGTTATCGATGTTTTAATAGAACTAGTAGTAGTAGTTGTTGCAGTTACTACTGCAACAACTGCTACTACTAGTTCTATTAAAACATCGATAACTACTACTACTACTACTACCTACTACTAGTAGGTGTTGTAGCAGTAAAATTAGTATTAGTAGTTGCAGTAGTAGTTGGCCTAGAAGTAGTACTAGTTGGCCTAGTAGTAGTAGAAGTTGTAGTCGTGGTAATATTAGTTATCATTGTTTTTATAGAAGGAGTAGTAGTTGTAGTCTTTGTTGTAGTAGTAGTTTTTTGTAGTAGTAGTTGTTTTCGTAATAGTAGTTTTTGTTGTTTTAGTAGTAGATGAAGTGGTAGTAGTAGTTGTTGTAGTAGGTAGTAATAGTTAACAAGTTTTAATTGAAGTAGTAGAATTTGTTGTAATATTAGTAGTTGTTATTTTAGTAGATTGCTAGTTATCATAGTCGTAGTAGTTATTGTAGTAGTTGTTTTTGTCGTAGTAGTAGCAGTTGTGATAGTAGTAGTTGTAGTAGTTGAAACAGTTGTAGAAGTAGTTATTGTAATCGTGGTAACAGTAGATATTGATGTTGTAATAGATATTGTAGTATTTTTTGTAGTTGTAGTAGTTCTAGTTGAGCTAGTAGTAGTTTAGTAGTATTTGTTGTCGTAATAGTAGTAGTTGTAGTTGAAGGAGTAGTAGTTGTAGTAGTTGTATTAATTGTTGTAGTAGATGTTGTATTAGTAGTAGCAGTAGTTGTAGTAGTAGTAGTAGTATACTTTCTGCTGTAGTAGTAGCTGTGTTAGTAGTATTAGTTGTAGCAGTAGTTCTAGTAGATTTTTCGTAGTAATTGTACTAGTTGTATTAGTAGTAGTTGTCGTAGGTGACATAGAAGTAGTAGTTGTTATATTAGTGCCAGTGGTAGATATCGATTTTGTAAAAGAAATATTGTTGTAGTAATTGTTGTGGTTGTCGTAATAATAGAAGTAGTATTTGTCGTAATAGTAGTATTTGGTGTAGAATTTGTTAGTGTCGTAGTAGGTGTTGCTGTCCTAGTAGTATAAGTCATTGTAGAAGTGCTTGTAGTAGTAGTAGTTGATGCTCTAGTAGTAGTTGTCGTAGTAGTAGTTGTTGTAGTAGTTCTTGTTGTAATAGTAGCTCTTCTCGCAGTAGTTGTCCTACTAGTTGTTGCGTTAGTTGTTTTTGTAGTAGTAGTAGATTTTGTCGTCGTAGTAGTTGTATTTGTTGTCCTAGCAATAGTAGTTTTAGTAGTAATAGTGAGCGTAGTAGTGGTAATTATAGTAGTTCTTGAAGTAGTGGGAGTGTTGGAGTTGTAGGTCTTGTTGTCCTAGTTCTTGTCTTGTTGTCCACTACTAGTAGTTGTCTTAGTAGTAGTGGGTGTAGTAGTTGTTGTAGTAGTTCATGTCTTAGTAGTAGTAGCAGTAGTAGTCGTATTAGTATTAGTTGTAGTAGTTGTTATTGTCATAGGAGTAGTAGTAGTAGGTGTTGTCGTAGTAGTAGCATTTGTATTATTAGTAGTAGTTGTCGTAGTAGTTGTCATAGTTGTTTTCGTATTAGAATTAGTTATTTTAGTATTTGTAGTAGTAGTATTGGTAGTAGTTATCAATATTATTGTTGTTGTAGTAGTTGTAGTAGTATTTCTTGTTGTAGTAGCAATTGTAGTAATAATACTAGATTTTTAAGTAGTGTTTTCCTGAAAGTACAGTGAGTTTTTGCTCAGCGCGCTTGTGCCAATATCTACACAGGGATGAAGGATCCAACTTAATCTTTATTTTTGTGCAGAAAGTGATACTTGGCAATCGTTTTCAAAGCAAACACCGAGACCCCAGTGTCCTTCTGCCTTATATCTCTATATAACAGGTTAAACTTGCTGATGATATTACATGTCTAGCAACCCCAGCAACTAACTCCCGCCCTCCCAATTCTCCCCCATTCCATTTCCGGAACTTTGTTGATACATATTTCCTTCTATCGAGACCAGCAATCAGCGACATCGCAACAAGCAATCTCCCCCAGCTAAAACAAACTACTCTATGCACTTTGTTAGATAAAATAATATTTTAAAACATTCCCTTAGTTTAAAACAAGCTGTTCCCTGGTTAAACTGCAGCGAAAGTCCAGTGGTGCTTCATCAAATCCCCCCTTCGAGGCTATGGCTTTTATGGAAAATGTCCATAGTCCTCGACTATCTTTTTTAGCTGCATTAATCTCTTTGTTCCTCCCCATTATTTTGTATCGGATTTATATGTGGTGATATTACGAACATTATACGGTGAACAGGGGAATTAATTGATTTTTTGAGTACCTCGCAAAACTGTATTTTAGAACAGAATAACAAGAGAATACATATACTTGCCAAAATTAAATAAGAAAATTTGCTTAAGCCATGAAAAAATTAGGAAGCAAAGAAATAAGTCATGAGAAGTCGAACCCTTCCCTTTGCTTAATTTGCAACACAACCTTTTTAAAGTTTTGCACTTTTGACTCTATCAATTCAGGGTTAACTTTCAAATTAAAACAACACATTCCCTCGAACTCTTTACATCTGTTGTTATGCCTCAGCATAACAACAGATTAATTACCATTACCATTAATAGTTAATATATGGCTGTTCAATGTTGCAGAGTATCTCCTCTTAGTTCTTTTATTTTAATATTGATGGAAGCTAGGGTATGTGAAGTTGTATTTAGGCCCCTTGGCAGGGCACAGGCCAGTTGATCAAGCGCTCTATCAGCGTCCACTACTAGGCCTGGCACACCTACTAGGAAAATTGTTAAGTCGGCATCACTTAGTTTTATGTCTTATCACAGGATTTATCTAGTACCTTTGAACCTCTCTGGTGACGCTTATTAGAGTTGTTAGGCATAACTGGTAACCAGACGGACAACCGGCTTAGAGCACAAGGGTCTTCTGTGGAATTGGCTGGGATATATGAATAGGCAGTCTTTCCACAAAGGAAGATCCAACCCCGGGGTAATATAACATGAAGGTAACTACTTTCATGTTATAGTACCCCGTGACTAATGTATGACCAATGTATGTTAATACATTGGTCATAACTGAGCAATTGAAAATTTTTGTTTTTTTGGTCAGGCTTTTGCAAACTTGGGTACAGTTCACAAAATTGGCACAGCTGGTGCTATCAGGGGAGGTGACTGTCAACAAATTTATTTTAAAGGTATCAGCGTTTCTTTTTGTGATAATCTTTTCCCACTAATGTTTTTAGTATAATTGATTGACCTCCTATTCCCCTAGATGTGAACCAAGTCTGGTATCGGAGTGTATCCATTCCAGTGGTCACCCCTATATGGCATGACGTGAAAATATCATCAACTGATATTTCACCTGCCAAACAAAAACGAGTGCTATTTAATACGTCTTTTGCAAAATTAACCCACGAATTTTTACTCTTATCGAAACTTTTATACACCAAACCCTTATAGTCGAGAAACATTACACCTATGCAAAAAAACTACTATCTACATTGTTGACGTTCATACAGAAATTTTTGTTAGTTTACTGGCTCTGCTGTCCAAAGGTGTCCGTTTGTTTCGGCTTCTGGAGCGATAGATTCAGCTAATTTTTTCTGCCGGTGGTACTTCTGGTGCAGCCTTTAACCGGGTGTAGTGTATCCATGGTTTTACTCCCTGAACTTTTACTGCAGCGTGAGTAGGCAGAATCACAGGATACGATCCCTTCTACCTGGGTTGAAAATACTCGTCTTTTCACGTCCGGACCTGCACTTCTTCTCTGAACTGGAAGTTGTGGCCTGGTGTATCTAGATGGAGTGGAAGTACTTTCTGGACAGACCAGAGAAGACAATACAGCAGAAAGTGAATAAAAATAATCTTTTACCCAACCTTCCCTTTTATATGCATTTGCCTCCCATGCATCACCACTAGATTTTTAGGATGTGGCATGACATACATTAATTTAAATGAAGTAGCTCCCAATTTAGTCTAGGGGTTATGAGTACTCTGAGCAGAGCAAGAGAGAGCTTCCGGCCATTGTAACTCTCTCTTCTGGCAAAGATCAGACAGCTGTCTTTTTAGAGTCCGATTTATTTGTTCCACCTGTCCACTTGACTTCGGTCTGCATGCCGAAAGTTACATTGTATCCCCAGAGCCCGGGAAACTCCCTGGGTTACTTCGGACACAAAGTGTCGCCGTCCATTCGAGGGTAATCCCTCTGGGATTCGGAATAGTGGAATCATTAATTGTAGGATTACCTGGACCATTTCTTTTTCTTGTTTGGTTTGCACGAGAAGTCCTCAGTCCATTGAGTCAGAGGGTCCACGAGCAGTAACAGATATTTTTAGTGTGCCTTCCTGGATACTTCAGAGAAATTTATCTGCCAACATTCACCTGCTAATAGTCTTTCCGTTCCTGCTCCTGGCGGAAGTTTCGGAGGGAATCTCAGGATTATTGGCACAACAGATAGGGCATTTACGCACGATTTGTTACGCTGTTTTTTTTCAACTTAGGTCCAACTACTATTCTTTGGAGAAGTAGGGTCAGTGATCCATATGGGTGCTCTAGTGCTACTCTAGAAGAACTTTAATAAGAATATGTTATGGCATATATAACTTGTCCCTGAGGCAAAAACTAATATCCATTTAGTTATTCTTTGCTTCCCAATTTTTCTAAAAGTTGTCGCTCTTCTTTAGTATATTTGGGAGGTTGCTCAGGTAACACTAACGGAAGCATCAATTCGAACAGTTCAGTCTTTTGAAATTGTCCTCTATCTGCCTAGTAGTACTAGTAGTAGTTTTTGTTGAACTAGTAGTAGAGGTTTGAGTATTAGCTCTTGTTATATTTGAGTAGAATTACATTTGTAATAGTAGTAGTTGTTGAGGTACTATTAGTTTTAGTAGCAGTTGTAATAGAAGTACTAGTTGTTGTAGAAGCGGTTGTTGTTGTTATACTGGTAAATGTACTCTTAGAAGTTGTTGTAGTACTAGTTGTAGTAGTTGTTGTCGTGGACGATCTGCTTATTCCCAATAATGGAAGAAACTTATTTTGAAAAATATGGAATTAACGCAAATCTTGGCATGGCAACTTTGCGAAATAATGAAAGTATCGAAATAATTTCGCAAATCTCAAGAATGTTAGGAAAGATAAAAGCGCAATTTCGCTTTTTGTCTTTTGTCTTTCTCCGTGTATTCATGCGTCTGAATTCGCGGTCAGTTCAATCAGCATTCAAAGATCGGCTAAAACGCCAAAAATGAAAAAATAACGAAAAATCACAAAAAGAAAGGAAACAAATATATATTCTTAAAACTCAAAAATCTCAATTACTTCAGTAATGCGAAATATGGTGAATCTGTTTGTATGGTTTCTTGCACCGTTTTACGGCTCCTACACACGGTGTTGTGCTCAAATGGCTCCGCACGGTAATGCGGAGCAATGTTAGGGTTCCAACCATCATTTACAGGAACGTACCGCCGGTGTCG